CACTTCGTCAGGAGGTGTACAGCCAGAAAGCTTCTAGTCAGAAAGCTCTAGAACAAGCTGCTCTGGTGCAACAAGCTGACTAACATTTTAATGTAACTACAGCAAATAATGTGATTTTGAGAACAACTCAAAATCATCATTTGTATGAAAGCATCTTAAAACAGCTGGTGGAGATTAAATGGATGTCCCATGTAGTAAGAGTGTATTAAAAACTTCTCGAGCCTACCACAGTGCAAAGGAAGATAACCACAAGTCCAGCAGCTCCCCATCTACCTGCCCCTACTACAAGGAGTTTGGCCAGATACTCGCCACTGTCCTGAGTACAGAGCCCAGAGTCACGCATGACTGGCTCTTGAGCAGCGATGGTTCACTCTACCCATGCAACTGCAAGGCAAGGAAAAAGGAATACTTGTGACATCCAGTTTTATTAATGAATAATCAGTAGTTACTAGCACTCAGTTTATTTCCACTATTTTCTACTGTTCTCAAAAAATATCAAGAAAATTAATGTAAATTGTATTGGTTTGTGCATTCTCAGAGTCAAGCAGCTATATGCAAAGCTTTAACAACATTCCACTCAAGTGTCACAGCGCAGTTTTATCCTTTTATTTGCTATGAAAGTTCATTGCAAATTACAGTGTTCACACCAGCACCTTATGAATGGAATCCTGAAATGCAGTAATGTGAGGACCCTTTAGCCTTGTTGCTTCATTAAGCCCAGCCCCTACCACAAGAGGCAGTAGTTAACTCCAATGGGCCACAAAGGTGTGGTTACTTAAGGAGATTCTTGTGAAAAAAAAAAAAATCCCATCACCCCCAACACCATTAGATAGCTGCTGTTTCACATACTGGAATGTAGATAATTTTATAGGCAATGCTATCTTGCCTTCAACCCATCAAAGGCATCCTCTATCACCACCCTGCACCTGAGAACTGCTCATCAACCCTTTGCTCAGTGATCAAGCTCTGACGCTCCTGTTCATACGCCTGCGTCCTCAGAACAGCGTGCACAAGGTATTTTGATAAATATTTTACCCGAGGAAAACATGAATACTTATCCAAGTATGTACACAATAACAGCTCTCTGACATCCTGAACCTGTTGCACAGCATCACATTATGCCTTTACATCTGTTCTGTGAACAGAAGCCTGCATCGTGGGAGACCATTGGTATGCAACGACAGACATTATAAATAGCTTGACACTCTAGTACATGCTATCAACAGCAAAATTGAGGGCAAGGAATCCAACCTCTCAAATCCAGTGCTTCTTTTAAGTATACGGTCCATACTAAATTCTGTGAGTAAACCACAAGATGAACTTTCTCAAGGATATCCACTGAACTGGGCTTTAAATGAGTAGGTTAGGATACCTCAACAGTTCAGCTACCATACCTGACCTTCCACAAAATGCTTACAGTTTAAGTCAACATGCTTTATTTTCGCTTTGCAGTGGACAAGATCATGTACTTCCGGATTTTGTAGCTCATTTAATTATGAAGTCATGTATGTCTAAGCCTACCAGCAACTACCTTCTACCATGCAGGAACTGATCGAGATGTATCTTGAAAACAGCAAGCATTTTGTCCCTGCAAGGCTTGAGAAGACTGTTTTGAAATGTTAGCAGTACCATAAGTTTGAAGTTTATTCTGTTTTATAACCTGGTTTAATTCATAGTCTGCTTCTGCTGTTTCCTCTTCCATCAAGATTTCGTCATTTTCTTTCCTTGTAACCATATTAATCCTCTATTCTATTTCACCAAGCTAAACAAACCAGTGATTTTCTGGCCCCCCATGTCAGCTGTCTGTTCTCCTTATCATTCCAGCAGCTACATTCTACCTCATTCCACTTCAACCTTTCATTCTTAAACACTTCATCAGTTTTTCACATGGCATCAGAAATACCAAGATCTTTCATTCGTGAAAGACAAATGCAGTGTTGCATGCATCATACTGGACTGGGGTTTTCAGTACAGAACATTTCTTTGTAATAAGGTTCTTCCATTTTTGGGCAGGTAGCAGTGGATGCCATTTATCTGTATTTTGCCAAGGCTTTTGAGTCCATCTTATAGTAGCCTTACAATCAAATCAGTTATGTATCAAACGTGTGAAGGACAAGGCTGAAAAACTGGCTGGACCACTGGGCTCAAAGGGTTGATGTTACTGACGGTTAAGGGTTGGAACAGGCTTCCTCGGGAGGCTGCAGAATCTCCACCCTTGGAGGCTTCCAGAGTTTGACTGCGTAAGGTCCTGAGCCAACCTGGGCATGTTCCTACATTTAAGTCCTTAAGGTATAGGACAAGGCTTTCCAAATTCCGATACAGTCCATGTCCTTACACAGAAATTGCCCAAAATTGTAGTGATCTAACTATTCTGCCCAGGATTAAAGTGCAGGCCTACCTATACGAGTTTGCTACACACTTTATTTATTGCGGTCTCTTCACTATGCCATATCAGCATCCATTCCCCTTGATAACCAAAGCTACTTCTTGAGGACCACAAAGTGTTCCTGCAGGACCCTCTGTTCTCTCTAGTTATTTTCTGCTTCAAAAATAAGGCAGGAGAAAAGAACAGCTAAACCTCTTACGGTTAATCTGGGCACTGGTTAGGATAGACCAAAAAAAATACCATGTATAGCCAGGAGGTTAGCGTGCTTCAGGGCAAAAATGATCCTGCTTAGGGACTTAGCACAGTCTACCACAGAACAATTCCACAGGCTAATCAAGTTTGAAAGGACATGGGATATATACTTAGAGATCTACTACTACCTGCTCTATTCATAACAGCAACAATGATAAGAAAACATGGGAAGTCTCGCATGACTCTTGTAGCATTAATGCCTTTCAGCTTGACTCTCCACACCACATAGGTGAGTTAATCACTTTGCAGAACACACAACAGTTGTAGTATTTAATGCAGTACGTCAAACTGAGGGTTTGCACACTAATGATTCAACCAATCAAGAGGCTTAGGATCCTCCTTTTGGAGAAACTCTTATTTCTAAACCTTATTTTTCTGAAAGTACATCAGAGTACCTAACTCTTGCAACCTATGCTGGCATATGCAGTGAGCAAAACAGAAATCCGAATTCCTAATACGGAACTTTTTTGTCCTTCAACAATACACATAAAAATGCAGTTACAATCGTCTGTGAAGGACAGTTTGTCATGCAGATGGTGACACATCAGCCCTTTCAGCCACTGGTCATCTCAATCTGCTACATGCAGCTGTAAGCATAAAAACTGCTTACAGTAATGAGGCATTCCTCTGCCAGTTAAACACAGCCACGAGTGACCAATGCCCCCCCCAGCGGTGTTTGCTAACAGGGCAGTGTAACTGCTGTCCTCCAGCCAAGTACAGCTAAACTTTCAGAGTCAACAAGTAGCTGAAACTGTCTCCTTAGAAAAAGGGAGGGTCTTATCAGAGCTGAACAGCGCTTCTGAAAGATAAGAATGGAGAAAATGTTATGGTATATGCGGTTCACTTCAACTTAAGTTATCTGTACCCTCGTGATTAACTGTGAATATGAAATAAAAAACAAATACTAAGGAAGAGAACGTAGGCTGAATTATTCTACTTTGACTCTTAATATATCCATATAAAATCAGCTGAAATGCAAGCTTCATGAACATTATTTCTTGAGAACCAAAGAAAGTTTTCACCTTTAAGTTCCAAGATATTAAATCGAAAAAATAAATGCCAATGTACTTTTATGAGACCATTTACAAAGCTACTCCAAAATATCAGTCCATCTCTAGTTAATCAGTAAGTGGGGAGGGGGAAGAAAGTACCAAACCCTTCTAAGGGCTGTAAAGATCTTCCAGTGAAAATAAAAGGTGCATTTGTAAACTGAATGCTGTATATTAACGTTTTAAGAGAAAACACTCACTTTATTTTTCAGACAAATTTAGTTTCCTCCCAAAACACTTGAGAGAAAGCAGTATGGAAGAAGCAGTCTTCTCCCTCACAAATACAATTATTTGGGACATACTGATTACATACAATAATGCAGCAATACATGGGGTTTACCACATCAGATAAACAGTTAATAGGTATTATTCTGAAAAAACTAAGACTAATTTAATTTGATTAATTTTTAATAAGCATGACTGCAAAGAGAGATTTTTCTGTCTTGTGTGATTTTCAGCCAGTTTAGCTCCCTGTCACTCTACTGCTGACAAGGTAGGGAAGGTACAAGAGCTAGCCATTTTAAGCACAGGGACCAGAGAATCCCAGCAGTCCCCTGAATTTGCTGGCACTGTGGTTCCTTCTTTCAATGCCTTTAAAACTGGCCATCTTGGAACTGCTCTGCAGACCAAGGTGTTTTCCAGAGCAGGGGCAGAAGAGCTGA